TACATCAGTCTTAACAGATATGTTGATTAGCCTGGTTTAATTTAATCAGAGTACCTGGATATTTTAAAAGTTTCCAGTTTGACATATTGATATACGAAACTGAAAAGCACTAGTCTATGCATATAAATATTTTTCTTGTTGTTTCCTTTTTTTTTTCCTTTGTGGTGATGTGAATCAATCCTGTGGTCTTATACATGGCAGACAAGTGCTCTACCATCCTGCTGTACTCTTAGCACTGGAAGTTTTCAAAAGTTTCTTTAAAACAGCTGCATAAGTAAACATTTATCATTGCCCTATTATAATAGATAAATGTACTAAATGTTTTTCTTATTTCCTGTACTTTCCTCATTTGCATTGGTTCCAATTTATATTGCAGTGCAAGCTGACAAAATAATTAACTCAGGTTTCCTTCAGGTAGCTGAAGTAAGAGCCTTATAATCCATGTTTCAGGAAAGATTTATGTAAACATCTATTAACCAAGGATAGGAGGAAGGTCAGGTCTCAAACTTTGGCATTGGAGGTGACCATAGTGCTAAAGCCCTTCACTTGCAGGGAGATGATTTGTGATCAGAAAAACAATGAAAAAGCATGTCTAGATTACTTAAGAATGTAGTTTCAAGGGAAAACAACCACACATTTTTCTTCACCATACAAATCTTGCCAATATATGACAAAAATAAACCTGTGGAGAAAAACAACTCAAAAAGGGTTTCTTAACATTTCATTAGTTTTGAAGGAATGTGATAAGGATTGACCCCAAGATTACACACCCAGTTCTTTTTTAATTTTAGATTTTGAGACAGGGTTTTGCTAAATCAGTGTTTCCCAGATTGGGTTTAAAATTTTCAATTCTCCTACCTTTGCCTCCTAGACTGCTGGGATTACAGTCATGTGACCCCATGCCTAGCTATGTTTCAATACTTTTTCATCATTGACTTGTGCAGAGTTCCCTAATTCCACATTTGTAGTTAGTGGTATGATTATGTGCATTAAAGGAAACAAAATTTATAAAATTTTCACAAAGTTCAAAAATACAAATTATAGATGAAATATTTCTTTAGAAACAAACTTGATTGAACACTGACTTGCATGAAAGAGAGAAAACAGAAATCCAAGAATGATGAAAAATTTCTGGGTGATAAAAGGCACATAGCTATATTTACCAGTGAACAATAACATTAGTTTATTGTTGAGATGATGCAGTCCTAATTTCTGTGAGCTTGTAATAAATATTCTAAATATATGGATATTTTACTTGGTTTTAGGTAAACATAAGTTTGAATGCTTCTTAATTGCCATTACATTTTTCTGAAAGGAGAAAGGCTATTATTTATTCTTTATTGTTAAGAGGAGGCTATATTTTGCTGTGATCATGTACTTCTTAATTGCTAAATTTTTGGCTATAACATTGTTGAGTGTCTCTACAGTAGATGGGTATAGAAGAAAGGGAATAAGACAAAGACCATTAATGAAAAAATTTTCATCACTTCTCAGCCTTTTAGCTAAGATCAAATGAAAAACTTCCCAAGGGAATTGTTTTTATCACAACTGAGAAATACTGCTAAAGGTGTAAGGACTCCGACTGCAAATAATTTATGTTTGAATCCATGAACTCAAAATACATGAAATACATAGTGTATTTATTTATGTGCATTTTTACTTCCAACTTTTTTTTCCAAAGGTGTTCAAGCAATACAGAAACAGAAAATCTAACACAGGTTTCCGAATTCCAACTATGGGCTTCTCAGAGGATCCAGACCTGCAGCCCATCCTCTTTGTACTATTCCTCCTCTTTGTACTATTCCTGTCCATGTACCTGGTCACAGTGGTCGGGAACCTGCTCATCATCGTGGCTGTCAGCTCTGATTCCCACCTCTACACCCCCATGTACTTCTTCCTCTCCGACCTTTCCTTGGCTGACATCTGTTTCACCTCCACCACAGTCCCAAAGCTGATTGTGGACATCCAGAGTGACAGCAGAGTCATCTCCTATGTGAGCTGCCTGACACAGATGTCTCTGTTTATTATATTTATATGTATGGATGCTATGCTTCTGACTGTGATGGCCTATGACCAATTTGTGGCCATCTGTCATCCCCTGCAGTATCTGATCATTATGAATCCTCGCCATTGTGTCTTCCTAGTTGTTCTGTCTTTTTTATTTAGCATCTTGGACTCTCAGCTACACAATATGATTGTCTTACAATTTACCTACTTCAAGGATGTCATCATTTCCAATTTCTTCCGTTACCCTGCTCTACTTCTTAACCTTGACTGTTCTGACAACTTCTCCAGTAACATTTTAAAGTATATTGCTGCTGTGTTATTTGGATTTTTTCCCATCTCAGGGATATTTTTATCTTACTATAAAATTATTTCTTCCATCCTGAGAATTCCATCAAAAGGAGGGAAATTTAAAGCCCTGTCCGCCTGTGGGTCTCACCTGTCAGTTGTTTGCTTATTTTATGGAACAAGCAGTGGCGTGTACTTCAGTTCAGCTGTATCACAATCTCCCACATATTGTTTGGGGTCCTCAGTCATTTATACCTTGGTCACCCGAATGCTAAATCCCTTCATCTACAATCTGAGGAACAGGGATATTAAAAGTAGCTTGAGCAGACTACTCAGTAGAAAATTCTAATGTTAGGACCTGAGTTATGCATTATAAATATAGAGTGAACAAGATAGCAAAATTAAACATTTGTACCTATACATTATGTTTCTGCAATCACACTGTTTTTGTAATAGCTGATTTGAAATTCTCATCACATATTTAACGTAGTAAAATAGTTGTAGTGTTAGAGCCTGGAAGTATTGGGACTTTTAACGGGTACAATGCTTTAGTTTGTGAAGATGAACAATTTCAGTACATAGACTTTGGGGCTGGATGTACTATAGTATGAGTATTATTATTGCCACTGAGATCTGCACTTGAAAATGGTGAATGTCATCAATTTTTAAATTAAAATTTGGCATAATAGAAATGGAAACAAGCAATGAAAAACAAAACACAGATAAGTCTTGAAAAGAAACAAAAGAAATGAATATATAACTAAGCTTCATTCTGATTCTATGAAGAACCCACTAATTTAGTTATTTATTTTCTCTTATTCTCCCATTAATATTAGAATGCCCTTAGAGTTTATAATGGACCAATTTGGTTAATTGTGAGCTCTATCCATTGAGTCTCCAATGTCATATAATATTTAATATTCAGTCCATGCTCCAGAAGTTATTTGATGGATCCATTCCAGCAGGCACCATACCTGTGTCTCCTCCTCCTATGGTTGTCTGTGTCAAAACATCCTGGTATGAGACTGCATGCAAGTCTATTCTGAAGGCAGAGCTTGGGTTTTCATTAGGAAATGTGTAGAGAAGGGCTATTGAATTTTCTATCTTATCATGACCCCAAAGAGCACTAACAAAGCATTAAATGGTGAAAGACATGAAGGATGAAGAAAGGACATTGAGTGTTCATCATCAGGACAACAGTTCAGTTCTAGGTAGCCAAATGTAATAAGATTTTAACTATGGGGCTGTAGAATTTGGATATGATTGTGGTGGGGTTTCTAGAAATCATATCCAAGGTTTTGATTTACTCCCACATTGGTTCTTCTTTTCAAAGACATCCCATACAGACAAAAGAAAATGGGTTTCTCCAAACTATTTCCTGAGAAACTCAAAAGGGTCATAAAGGGCACATTGAGGATGAGGATGTAGGTGAGTATGACAATAATTATAACCTCATCAATCATTATTGATACATTCCTGAGTGCCAAATGTTCTATGTAGATTCCCCAGGCTATAAATGCCACATTAGTCTTTTATGGGAAAGAAATGCACATGACATTTTAATCCAACACACACTGGTAGATAGCTTGGCACACTGAAGCCATGTTTGAATTGAGCTGTCTGATTAGACACACAGGTAACCTGGGTAGGAGAATCATGGCAATTTGTTCCATTGACAACTCAGTGACCCACTTCTCTTCCCTGTCATTCTAGGAGAAACCCTTTGCTCACTTTGTATTTCTCTTTGGGGCTTCTGATAGCTCAGAGGATAAAGCTGTGCATAAAATCTGGTGTGTCAACGATAGGAAGAATGGTTGAAGTCAGACGCATGGAACACAGAAAGAGAAATCCCATGATAACTTAGCATAGATGTCTATGTTTTCATACTTTGCAATATCCTTTCAGCTGACCCATGCATCCCACTCAATTGGAAAAGGAAACTTCAAGTCAGATCTTGATTTTCATCCACTCAGGAACACTGGAACCAGTTGAAACTATACCTGGAGTCAAAACCTCTGTACCTGTGTTTAAACCTTTCTGATGGTTGGAAAACAGTGAAAAAGATTAGTGCATCTTACCTAGAGATTGTTGATGTATTTGTCAATGCTGTTTGCTCCATTTGCACGTTGTTTACCTTAGGGTAGTTTATTAGTATCTCTGGGGCTCAGCATTGTCATTTAAGGTGGTTTCAAGTTGAGACAACAGCATTGGATATCAATTAAACAGATAATAATTTTTCTCTATGAGGTTAATGTGTGAGAAAAATATAAAATCTGGGCAAATATAAGTTAGATATTTATTATTAACAAGAAGATTAATCTTTCTGTGTTCAATTAAAATATCCATGAAATGAAATTACTGTTTTCCTATTTCTATAATGCTGTGCTTTAATTTTGCCCTTATGAAATGTGGTGTGTATCTGGAGAAGCAATGGCTTTCCTTTGATTCCCCAGAGCTTATAGTGAATTTGTTCAAGAGAAGGCCTCAAAAATAAAAATCTGTGTTTAATATTGCATAATCCCTTTCTTCATTCCCAAATCTTGGCCATCAATTCAACTTCAAAATTTGTGTTTTCCTTACTGAAACTTTATCCTCTTCAGGAATGTCTCATAGACTGGAGACAAATAAAATGGGTTTTGTTTCTAGGCTTGGATACTTGGGTAACATAGTACCACCAAAAGCATTGTAGCTTTAAACAATTCAGACCATGGAGAGATTTTCATGAGCATAAAAGAAGCAAAAGAAGTACAAAGACAGAACAGCAGCAAAACTGATTGTTTGGAGTGAGAGAATCATAGACCATATCATTACAAGATTCCAGAGCAGTTTCACAATTGTATCAGGAGAATTATTTCCTTAATGACTGAATACTTTATTTTTTAAAAATTTAACAGTGCAATATGTACTAGATTCCAAAATTACTTACCATCACACATTGTCTGGTTCTGATTATTATATGCTGTTCCATCAGGCAGTGTGAACAGAGGGAGGTCGAGAAATTACCATGCATTTAATATTGTAGGAGTTCAATATACAGGACTGAAATGTCCATTACCTGACATCCATACAAAGGCATTGTTTCTTATTTGAATCAAAAGGAAATAATAGTTCCAATGCAATATAAAATGTCTTGATTAGTTATCTTGGAAGTTTTATTAGTACATAGATATCAATGATATTTTGATCATATATGTTAAGAAAAAGGTAACACACATGAGAATAACTGATTTTTATTCAGAAAATAAATATAGCTGTTTATAGCAATGTTGCACATGCATTCATTGTGAGAAATCAAACAAAAGGCCTTCATCTAGATGTTATTTAACAACTTTGGCTTCTATGAAATAGAGATATTTTGAAAGAATTGTTATAACAATGAATTCTAAGTTAAATAATTTTCTTATTAGGTAATGATGTATATCATTTTAAATATTAGAAATAGATGTATATGCATCACAGAAAGACTTAAAAGCACATGGTCAATGTCAAGTGGTAAATTTCAGGGGCAATAGGTATTGTATTATACAGTATTTACAGGAGCTGATGGTAATTTTGGGATAAGTTATTTAGAAAGACTTTACAAATGCATAAATCAATAACATCATGGAGACTGACAGGAAAATCCACCCATCAAATTAAAGAGAGTCATTGCCTATAGGTGTATAGGAGTATAGGTGTGCAAGAGAGAAGAATCATTCACAGAAATCAAAATCTCAAACTTACAAGGCAATAATTCAAATCATGATAAATATTAGTTATGAAAGAAATATTGCTAAATATTTATATTTTGAAATGGGTAGTCAGTTTTCTTAACAGTAAAAACATGGAATACTAATGTGCCATTAATAAACAGCAATGTCACTCTACACCAATGGTTCTTCACCCTAGTTTAAAAAATTTATAGCAAGATATGCTCATTGGTTTGGATCTGAGGCAAGGTTATCTGAATAGTTTAAACTACACAGATATTTATATTTATTTGTGAGTTCGAGAACCACTAGATAAATTTAATAATTATGAAAATGAATTTCTCTATATAAATCTCTAAGCTAGTTAATTATACCCATTTCCATATGTAGAATCTATACATGTGTGTTTAACATAGTTACTGTATTTATTTTTGTCTTACATGACAAAACAGTTCTTTGGGTAGTAGAAATAAGAGAATTATAAGGACTGGGGATTTAGCTCAGTGGTTCCACCACCTGCTTCACAAGAACAAGGTTTCCAGTTTCCTCCAAGATACCAAAAACAAAAAAACAAAACAAAACAAAACAAAACAAAAAGAAATAGAATTATAATCCATGTATCCAGAAGATAAATGTGGAGATCTATTAAGATATATGTAATCATACAGGTTGGCACTGAAGCCTGGGCTTTGGAGGCTCATTGGTCCTAAAGTTCTTAATTCTTAATATGAGGGTATCTCTCACCCCCAAGTTAACAGTAACTTTTATTTAACATTGTATATTTATATATTTAACACTATATTCAATAGTGTTCAGAAAAGGGAGAATGAATCTAACGTAAATTCTTTAAATTTTTCAAATTTTCTTCAAAATTAAAGTTTCATTAAAATGATTTTTAGCAATCCTTTTTGATACTTTTTGCCTCCAGAAGTTTTACTAATTTAATCTTTTCACAAATCAAACAGTAGATCAGGTATACACTCAAGATATCTCTGTTGTATGTTGCACTATATTTTTATTAGTATACATTTGCAATACGTTGTGTACTTACATTCATTTGGGTGAATTATATTCAGAAAATTAGTGAAGGATAGACTGTCATTAGGTCACTATAGAGTAACATTATTCACTCTCCTTCCTAAAATAAGAATAATATTCCTCACCAGATATTTAGGGGTTTAATACAAATGAAATCATAAAA